ACAAATACAAATTAGCTATTCATTTTTCTAAGCAAATACGATTAATGTTTGAAATTGGGATGGCGTGTCGTCCCTATATTGTGCGCGACACACTTATATTTGGTATTGTCGTTATTAATTGACTACAATACCGTGGGCTTAGGTTGTATTCCTGAACGCGATCGAGGAGTGAAACGCTATCTGGTTTAAACGACATTTTTGCAACTATATAGGGAAATCATTTAAAGTATATATGTATTTTGGAGAAAATATCATAAGAAAAAAAACTTCTTCAACTACTTGAATGAAGTAAACTTAATTGAAAATTCAATTAAAAATGTCGAATTGTTGAAGCTCTTAATACCAATAAAAACGCACCTTTAATTACAAAAATAAATTTCGTGTATTAAGCAAGATGTCGCTTATGCCAATAGACTTTTACACCTCGTGATAATTTTTATTTAAGAGCAGGCATTTTCCATATTGTTTCACCCGCATTAAATTTGTAAATTGGAAAGAATAGGCGTTTTGTATTTTCCCGGAATAAAGAGTTGCTTGTGTCGCTATAGGGTTCATAGCCTGCAGGTCGGCTGGTACGTAAAATCATCAACAAGTGAACACATTGTCTTATTTACTGTAGCAGATATACGCGGTACTGCCTGGGTCATGCCATGATAAAAAGTATTCTACATGTTAATTGTTCCAAAAACGTTGCGTTGTCCAAATCCATTCATAATTTTTTTTTTTTTTTTTTTTTTTTTTTTTAGATNCAGATGTACCACGAACACAGAAATAACAAAAGGAAACAAAACAAATAAAAACTTCCAGGAAGAGCACTTAGTCGGCAGATGTACCACGAACACAGGCCGCGCGAACAATGGCCGGGCTAACAAAAGCCGGGCGAACAAAGGCCGGGCGATCGAGTGGTCGATGAGCACGTCCGCGCGTGACGGGTGCCTCTATCGGAATGGCCATTCATTATTAATTTATGGGGTAACATACGTACAAACTTTAACATTCCTAATATAAGTATAGATGCTTGGTAATAAATATGTAGTAATTCTGATTTTGATGAGAAAATTCTAGCTTGGGGCTTTTGAATTTAGAACGTTTGAAATATTATTTTACTGGTAATATAAATATTATATTACTGATAGCAGGACCTCTTGTGAGTCCGCGCGGGTAGGTACCACCACCCCGCCTATTTTTGCCGTGAAGCAGTAATGCGTTTCGGTTTGAAGGGTGGGGGCAGCCATTGTAACTATACTGAGATCTTAGAACTTATATCTCAAGGTATGTGGTGCATTTACGTTGTAGATGTCTCCATGTCCCAGTAACCACTTAGCACCAGGTGGGCTTTGAGCTCGTCCATCTATCTAAGCAATAAAAAAAAACTTACTTGATCTCTAGTCTCCAGTACAATAATAAAAAATATTACTGTTTCTTATATCGAATCTCGATATAGAACCATACCGCATCAGTTCGAGAATGGGTACTTGTGTATTAAACTTAGAGATGCGCTTGTAACATGTTAATATATAAATAAAATAAATGACAACTCTTAATTTATCGTTCTAAATTATAAATTGCTTCCGTATACAATGATCTGTTCAATTTAGAAACTAGGTTTCCCGTCGAACGCCTCTACAATGATATAAAAATGTCAATTACATTGTGAAAATGATTTCTAAAAGAAATTTCTACAGACATAATAAGAAAAAAATACAAGTAATACCTATTCTATATCATATATCAAATCCTAAGAACAAAATACATACGTCTTACGATAAATTGACCGTGAATTTTTATAGGTAGTCCGACGCCTCATATGCCCCATCACACTATCGGTTGTAGCAAAAAGATATTCATTTAACGGAAAACAAGCATAAACAAACCAATCATCATTAAGATAAGCCGATTGTTTTTATTTTGACTCAGATTCTTCAAATGCGGTAACTTTTGCCTTTTATTTATGAAAACCAATTTTAAAGATTTTTATTAAACTGAAAAACCGTACATGTTGTTTTGTAATTAAATCCTACCCTAACCCGAATGTATCCGGCTACTCCCCTACTCGCCACTTTCTCTCAACTCATCCATAGTACAGTGCCGCATAACAGCAGTGTCTTTTCCTGAAATAACTGATTATGTGATATGAGTTCTAAGGTCTCAGTATAGTTACAACGGCTCCCCACCCTTCAAACCGAAACGCATTACTGCTTCACGGCAGAAATAGGCAGGGCAGTGGTACCTACCCGCGCGGACTCACAAGAGGTCCTACCACCAGCAATTACGCAAATTATAATTTTGCGGGTTCGATTTTTATTACACGATTTTTACAATTAATATACAATTTTTTCGATTATTACAAATAACTTTTTTGTCCCAAATTTATATCTGTCTCACCTCTAATTCTTCATTATTTTATTGGTAGAAGAGCGTATTTTAAACCAACCGTCCTACCTATAACTGCTGCAACGCATTCATGGGTTCAATTCTGAAGTGAAGATAATCCACTATACAATCTTGAGCCTCCCAGCTTGTGTGTTACGATGAATTTGTGATGGATAGATCTGTTATACCCTAATCACTTAATCAGATGTCCCGTGGCATGATCTCTTCTAAGAAAATTGTTAAAAGAGAGTAAAAAGTAAAGAGAACGAGTAGGAAAGAAAGAAAGAAAGCAAGCAAGAAAGAAAGAGAGTAAAGAGAAAAGTAAACAGTTAACCATAATTAGTAAACCTATATCTTTCGATCGCTATAAAAATGGGCACAGGATGAATTGAACTGACTTTATCACTCAATAATTAAAACCAGTTTTATGGTTTAATCTCGTGTTTACATTGTCATTAAATTATTTCCGATATTTCGAATTTCGAATAATTTACAGTTTTCGTGGTCACGGTACACGTTATTCGTAATAATTGAAGATATTTTTTGCTAACTGTATATTTTCTGTAACTGTATGTTAAAAACTATTATGTTAAACTTATTTTATACGGAAATACAAGCGTATATTTTTCGAAAAAAATGGTTCTATTATTTTCTAATTTTTCACTGCAGCAACAAGTGCACATATGTATGTATGTAATTATATATATATATATATATTCGTACAGGCATAAAATATGTATGTTCTTAAGATAAAAAGTAAGTTGAATGACTCATATTAGTTAATATTTGAAACGTCGTATCAAGAACGGTACCAGGATGACGCATAATACAGTGAATAAGAGTTTTTTTAGACGTTCGATATTCTTTTTTCTTTGAAGCTTATCTATTTTCCATTTCTTATTAATGAATGAAATAATTTAGTGTATTATTGTCGTTTATGAGGATACAAATATTAGAACATCGTTCTCAGATACATTAGAATTTCACTGAATTCATTGAATTAAATGAAGACTTGTTTGTATTTGCAATGAAAGTGTAACAATTTATATAAAGTAGGTTTTTTAAAGGTAAAACTTTGATTTTCCAATTAAAAAATAAAGTCGAAAGTCATATAAATAAATTTTCAATGAACAATATTATCAGAAGAAAAACAGGATTATTTTTAAAGTTTCGTTCTATTTAATGTATCTGAAGTTTTTTGAAGTACCTGGTACAAAACATCCAAAGTATCGACAAGAAATGTATAGCAAAACCTCCATGTATGGAATAGTATTTTAAATGTCGTCTTCTATAAAACTTGCTTTAATGTTTACAGTAAAGCAATTAAAATACAATGTAACTTCGAATGATTGCTAAGACTAGACTAAACAGAAAATAAAATTTATCAAGAAACGCTGAATATTTAAGATAAATCATATTTTGTTTTTGCAATTTCCAATTGAAAGTGACATAATTCGTAACGTTGGTTTTCGTATTGTATTTTTCCAAATATTTTATTATTCGAAGCACAATATGACTTATATGACCTATTTTGAAGGAAATTTACTGTTACAATTACTATTATGAAATTTATTCACCATAAGATCGGTTAAAGTCCCATTACCTTAAATATATTTATTTATAACATTTGTAGTTGAAACCCATATGGAATTTCCAAAAGAAAATGAATTTGCTTTTTCAATCCATCAAGTACTATTCTAATAATATTAATAATATTCACTGGTCACTTGAAGATCAGGATTCATATCTCTGCGGTCGGTGTCTTTGTCAGATACGTTTGGTATTTAGGGTCTGGGTGTACCAGTTTAAGGTAAATGAATAGATTTCTCTCTTCTTCTTTGCACAACTTGCCAATGAAGATGTCAAAATTATTTCTTCAGATAAAGACCTCTGAATATGGCACTGAGATCACTTAATTAATTATGTTAAACGCTTTTGGTACAAGTTGGTCGTAGACCTCAAATAGCAACAAGCAGATATTAACTAAACGGGGAAAACATACGTCAAATTTGAGCCTTCCTTGATTTTTAGCAGGATGATGAAATAAAAAAAAGCTGTAATACCTAGTCACTAAATTGCACCAAATATACAAACAGCTTGACGAAAGCCCGTAAAACTATTTCAAATAAATAAATTAAAACTATCAAACAAACGGTAATGTTGCGATATTCCTTTAAATTCATCTTTTTTATTCAAAATCGTTCATATCAAGTAAATTACACAAAGATTTATTTACATAAGTGGGCGCGTGCTCGGGACTTGTACAAATATCTAGAGGTTCATATAATCTTTACATTGGTTTAGATGAGTAAACATGTGATGCGTAATATTAAATATATTATTTATTGCAGAGTACAATGCACTGGTTCAAAGGTAGTGTTTTACTGACGAAAATATTTCTCGTTTCTTTAAATAAGACATTACAATAATTGGCTTTCCCGAAAATTTAACCAACCCGTCAGTTTGAGGAACGCTGACTTATGTATGTTTGACTTATGCTGACTGCATCTACAGGGATTGCGATTAAGAGAAAATTATATTCCATGGAACTACCCTAAAGATTGTAGTAGTACTAAATTAATCTAAGAAAATATTTATTTTCACTTGAAACTTCAAACTTCACTCACCACTCTGGGACAAGTTGTGTCGTACAGTCTGTCGTACAATAATTCTCTGGACTCGTGGTTCTTCAGCACTTTGGGTCTTGTAACTTTACGAGCCGGCTTCTTGACTTCAACTTTATCCGCTTCAACAGCCTTAACAGCTTGATGTTGCCCATTGGCTCCATTAATGAACTGTAGATCCACTGGGCACGTTTTGTTTACATTAGATTCAACCATCAGTTCGTTAATAAGACCCCCATTATGCGTCGCGTTAATAACTTCGAGGGAGTCGGTCAATATTGTTTCAGAGTTTTGAATGACACCGGGAGCCATTGTTACGCTTATGCGGGTGTAGTGAGACTTCTGGTACTTCGGTACAAGGAGTAAGAGATATAATACAGCAGGCGTACGCCTGCTCGCGAGCGCACTAATCAAGCATAGGTGTCGTTCGTGTATTTATAACAGTTTTATCTTAAGAGACGAACTCGGCTCGTGTCACCGTTTTATTATTTGTAAACATTTCGTTCTCGCTGCGGTTGACGAGTTAAGCTTTAGCTAACAGATATTAGAAGTGTACATGTGACCACCATATACCATATACATTTGAACTTTTATATGTTTTGCTTTGCTGTTTCATAAGATGAATTGTTGATATTATGATTTTTACCGAAACTAAGCTACCCTACGACTAAAACTGATTCTTTGAAACACGACACAGGTATTACAACTATTATTGAAAGTAGTTGAAAAGAATCGTGAAAAACGTTTTATCACTATTTCAGCTTATTCTTTAATGAGATCGTCCAAGTCCATACTAAACGATAACCCATTCACTTTAAGTTAGCCTTTTTCCGCTTCTCGCAATAGCTCTAAAAGCAAACGGCTACACTAAATAATGGGGCTGGGGCTACCCGAAGGATAACTGGGTTGTCTGGAATCTAGCAAACTTAATCAGAAGATATTAGGAGACGTAGGCAAAGCGGAAGTCAATGAAAGCTCGCGTCAGTTATAAGCAGTCAAGTAAAGTTCAATCAACATTTTGAACACCTATAATGTTTATGATATCAATAATAATTCTGGCAAAAATGTTAGAAGCGCAAGTTGTCACAGAATCTATCCAATAAAGCACGAAAAATAGTATGCTTAAAACAATACATCCAATGGTTCATCCTGGCAGAGATTGAATCGGCATAGGGTATGATATTTACTCGCAAATATGCTTAGCCGGATAATAGTTTGCCCGCCTTAGAAACAATATTCTTTTAGTATTTTACAATTGTAAGGTTTGTTGTAAAATAATTAATTTTGTTAATGTTAAGGCAATTTTCGGATCGCCAAATAGCAACACTGTTGGTGGGAGCAATTACAGTAGTGGGGACGTGACATAATAAAAAAGGCGGTAGTCTGATAAAACGGGACAGAAATCAGTGTATTCGGTAGTGAGCAGATGTCTAAAGATTGTAAAAGTGGAGTTACAAATAAAGCAATACAGAATTAAGTAAACTACTGCAATCTGTGTATTATTTCCTGACCGTTGGAAGTGGAGTCTTACACAATGCATTAAAGTATATTAGAAATGACTTAAAGGCGATGATATTAATAATAAAAGCCATTGACAAATCAAATACGATGCTCTCGCCCCAAACTAGGATTCCCTGTTCTATGGGTACCACAGATATACATGCTTATGCGTGCGTTAAATATATACAAGTATGTATATATATCGAACATCCAGGTAAATAGCAAATTAACCTGCTCATGACGCGAATGTTTGCCCGATGTAGGATTCGAAACTTAGCCTAGCCTTGGTCCAGCAAATAAAAAAACCGGTGTAGGGCGTTTTGTGCCACACGGATAGATATGACTACCCTGCTTATTTCTGCGGTGAAGCAAAAACGCGTTTCGGTGTGAAGAGACGGGAATTTGTTATACTATAAAATTATAACTAAAAACTCTTTCTCAAGATGGATGTCGGCATTTACGTTGTTGATGTCTATGGACTCCAGTAGCCGTTTAACACCAGGTGAGCCGTGAACTCGTCTACCCATCAAAGCAAAAAAAGCAGTTAATGATTCTAAGTACTCCACATGGAGTCAGTAAAATAAATGAAGATTAGCTTAAAAATTTTAATAATTTTACTTTTTTTAATTTATTGTTTAAATTCCCTAAGTCTGGATGCAGTGCGTCGTGTAATTGACATCATAGGCAAATAACAACTAACATCATTTAGTCAATGATTATTCAGACGTTATCTACTCTCCAAACATGGCAGTTGGATTTAGTCATGTGCCACAACTAACAATATTTGAATAGAGTCATGCATTTTCTTTGCCCCCGAACGTGAAATTGGTTTATTTAATTACGTTCTATTTATGATGTGCCGTTGATGAGAACGTTACAGTTCAAGAGCAGTGTGGCGGTGTCCATATGCACCAGGGATCTCTTTCCGTCATTTGGAAATCTAAATCTTGTAACTAAGGCAATAAAGACGAATTCTCAATGTAAATTTTATGCATATTTTTGAACAACTATGTCTTGTATGTAGAAGTTAATGAACTGCAAGTCAATATTAAGAACAAAGTATTTTTCTAAAATAAACCACTATACAAATAATATCTCTTTTTTTTCTTTGTGAAAATACACATATGGCGATGCCTATCACACCACCGAAGTGCAACCTAACCCATAAATCAGCTCGCTGAGTTTCTCGCCAGATCTTCTCAGCGGGTCGCGATTCTGATCCAGTAGTAGATTTATTCGCGAAGCAGCTGCTCTTGAGTTGTTAGGTCTCCTTCGGAGACGCTCGGGCATCTGTTAGCAAATCCCACCCCTCCTAGCTGAGCCTTTGCTCGCCCACCTATTCTGATGAAACTGGAAACGCCTTGGGGCCACCAGTAATCCTTCAATACTAAAAAAAAACCACCGAAGGTCAAATTTGACAGATGTCTGAATCTTGCTTACGACATTTTCAAGATAAGTTTTTTCAAGATGTAAGCACATGACATAAACAAGTTCCGAACAATAATTTAGGACCGTAACAGGAGCCTCTGAATTACTGGTACTGGTAGACGAGCTCACGGGCTCAGCCTGAAAGAATTGCTAACACTAGCCCTAGCAAGAGCAATGCTTCGCTGAATCTACTACCGGATCGGAATCGCGACCCACTGAGAAGATCCGACGAGAAACTCAGTGGGCTGTATGCGTTCCAATTTGAAGAGTGGAATAGCTGTTACAATACACAACCGAGACTTCAACCTTATGTCTCGAGTTGGGCGAAAGCATTGTATTGTGATTGTCTATTAGTTCCGATAACTACTTAATACCAGTCGGGCCGTGAGCAGTGTAGCAGTACGTATTCCTGGTGCTCATATTAAATCCAAAATAGCCGAGATACGTGGACCGTGCGAGATATGGAAAGGAAGAAAATAGACGCTCTGCAAATGTGGTGCTGGAGAAGAATGCTTGGAGTTTCGTGGACCGGCTTTCGTACAAATGTTTCGATGCTTCAGGAACTCGGCATCAAGCAGCGTCTATTTGCTATAGTACAGTCTCGAATGGTGGATTTCTTCGAACACGTTTCGCGACGAGATGGCCGGTCCATAGAACGCTTCGATTTACAGGGAAGGGTTGATGGTACAAGACCGCGCGGGAGGCCACCAATGCGATGGACCGACCAAATTTAAACTGCAGTGTGAGGTCTCCTAAATGAGTGCAGTAGAATGGCCTCGAGCAGGGAGAGATGGCGGGACATCGTAAGACGCATCAAGTCTGCCCCTTCCAACAATAACAATAATTATTTCAAAATACGAACAAATAATTATCACAGAAAAAAAAAACAATTCATTACCACTTAATTTTAAGATTTCCATTTATTCGTTTGTTTATAGCAATTTAAATAATAGAAGCACAAAATTGTTTCAGAAACTAAAGATCTAATCTAGAAACACACATAAAACACAGTTTTCTATATTACATATAGATTACACAAGTTTTATCAACAAAATAAAGCTTATATTACAAAGTTACATACACGCTAACAACAGTAATACAGATTGTGAGGCCCACAAAAACTAGCAATTATACAGGACTAGACCCACCGTGGCTTTGTTCTGTTTTTTCATTTCATTAAGTTTTGTACAGTGTAGAAGTTTGAAATTTTTAATAGGAAAACATTCACTAAAAAAACATTAACTTAATATCTTGAAAAAAAAATACCACCAAAATAATCAATCCGTATTAGAATTCAATATAGATATTCTGTGTAATTTAATAAAACAATTTTTTTAAGGTAGGGGCATAACATCATAGAGGTGTCCACGCCTATGAGATACGCGGTGTGCAGATGTTGGGAGCAGACCGCAAGCCCAAGGATAATTGAATGAAACCATGCCTTAATTGAGAATTCCGTCAGCCAGGAGAGGTTTGACAGACCGTCACGTCAATATTACAGAGCCAATAACTCGTAACTTTTTAAAAACAATGTTCAATTTCAATGTGGCAATGGGCTAACCATATTAGCCGGATAATCGATAGCCGTTAGGGTGTAATCCTTCAATCATAAAAAGAGCCGTTGAGGTAAGCGTGTTCTTGAGTATACTGACTACTTGACTGTATGCTAACTTTCGCTTCCAAGGAAGAGCGATATTAAAACCAGACGTCCACAGGGTCCCTTCGTATTTATCTGAGGATGTGACGGACTATTCTGAGTACCGATAAAACGTGATGTTAGATCGAATGAAAATGAAGATTAAATCTGGACTAATTCCGTCGTGAGGTCTTCGTACATTTCGATTCAAAGATTAAAAGTAACCTATGGACTTAAATATAACATCTCTGAGCGATGAAAAGCGAAGGTAGCAAATGCTATAGTTGTATAATCATCGGTTTATCTATGTTAATAAAACGAATAAATGACAATTCACAAAATTTAACAGCTAACCAAAAATCCGAAGATTTTTCTACTAACTATAGTTAGTAGAAAAATCTATTAAATCTGGCTTATAAGCCACTTCTAAAAATAATTCTAGATCTTCACTTTGATCTCTAATCATATAACCAAGAGTCGTTACCGCAAAGTTTAGTCGCAAAATGTAATAAAGTACAGATTACGCTCCGAAATATCTGATATTCACCAAAGAAATTGTCCTAAAAGGCGTTATAACAAACTTTACCTAATTCATATTCTATACCATCATCCGAAACTCCTCAATCTTTCGATATACTTAATTTTACAGGATTAATTCCTTTCCTAAAAGCATCGACAATGTTTTGTGAATGTTTGAAATTTCTCTCTTCCGTGATGAAAGCCATACTCCTAAAATAATGATAATTTA